TGTTGCTCATTCCATTCAAGGGTGCTGAATACACTATACATGACTTCTATTTATAGGCAAAGTTTTACATCTTTGATAGAATCTATAGATATAATAATAAAAGATAATTGCATATAATGGGAATAATGGGAGATATTGAAAATACTGGAAGATACGAGAGATAATAATAGATACATGGACATCCATAAAGATATTATATTCATAAAAAAAAAATTTGTGTAATGTAATGCTAAAAAAACCAAAACAACGACTCTGCTTGTTTTTCCTTTCAATTCATTTTAGAAGGATTTTTGCAATTTTAGTTATTTTATTTTTTAATGAAGCAAACATAGAAGAAAGACTTGATAATAATAAATAAAGTAAAAAATAAAAAAATAGGTATTATTTTGCTGAAAAAACATATGTAAGGGTAGAGAGGAAAAATATTTCTTCTTCTCATTTTCTCTCCATATATGAAGAGAAAAGTTGAGAGGAAAATGGGATGTGGCACCCACCTTATTTTCTCTTCAACTTTTCTTCCCTCTCACTTTTCTTTCCTCATCCAAACAGGAGAAAAGCCACTTCTCTCCCAATTTTCCTTCCTAGTGTCACACTTCACTTTCTTTATCTTACTTAAAAAGGTAACAAAGATAATTTTTAAACCACCTTAATCCATTTAATATTCTACAATTAGTAAATAACTCAAAAGTCTAATTTAATTTCTAATGTTACTGTTCATTTTGGTAACCTTCTTAGATTATTATTTTAATGACTTCCATGATCCAACAGCTATAATTTCTTGTTCCATTCCTTCATGTTCTGTATCATGGCACCTTTGTACTTTAAGAAGCTCATGCACTACAAAAAAACAGCTGATTAGCTATAGAATTTGCGATGGAAAAAAATTCCGTCGCAAACTAGTGACGGAATTTACGATGAAAACAAATTTCGTCGCTAATTTCTAACGGAATTGCGACAGAAATTCTGTCACTATTTTTTTTGACGGATTAGTGATGAAATTTCTGTCCGTTGCTAAATTCCATCGCTAATCCGTCAATAAATATTTAACGACGAAATTAGCGACGGAATCTTTTTCCGTTAGAAAATTCCGTCCCTAATCCATCAAAAAAATTAACAACGGAAATTTCATCGCAATTCCGTTAGAAATTAGCGACGGAATTTGTTTCCGTCACAAATTTTAAGAAAATAAATTACATAGGATATATATACAAGTAGGAAAATACTGTTTATCATAATTTATTTAAATCATTTAATTTTTATATAGAATAATTTATTAGATTTTATTATAGTAGTTATTTTTTGAATAACAAGATTTTTTTGACTAATTGTAAATGATTTTCTTCAAATATATAAAACACATATACATAATATAATATAATGTAATATAATATATATAATTAAATTGTATATCTTATCAATGTTAATTAAAAAATATTTATAAAAAATTATTTATGATTTAAAATTCAAAATTAGTGTCGTTAGAAATTAAAATTATATTAAAAATATTTTTTAAAAAATAAACATTATAAAAATAGTAAAACAAATATTTAAAAATTATTTTCATTAAAATAGTTATGATTAAAATTATCATATAGTATATTTTTAGTTTTTAATAATATATATGTATATATAATTGTTTGTGTAAAATAATATAATATATATTTAATTTTATATAATAAGTCAACAGGTTCATTGCAGCTCAACTGGTAAAGCCATATGGATTAGCGATAGAAAAATTCCGTCGGTAATTAGTGACAGAAAATTCGTCGCTAATTAGCGACAGAACAAATTCCGTTGCTAATTCCGTTGCTAATCCATTTTCGTCGCTAATTCCATCGCTAAATAAAAAATTTTGTCGCTAAATTCCGTCGCTAAAAGCATGTTTTTTGATAGTGATGGATTGTCCATTTCTGACAGCAAATTATTCTAATTAACTTTTACTCTTCAATTATTTTGTGATTAATCTTCCCCAGATTCATTTTGAGATTGTTTGGCCATATGATCAATATGAGACAACTAAAAATTCACATTTATTAGGCAGTGATTCCCCAATTTTTTCAAGCCAAAATTTAATTTGATCTCTAATATTCAAGAAATTGTCCTATTTTTGGGTAAAACGACATAAAATATTCACTAAGCTAAGATTCCCATTTCTAAGCAGTGACCCATTCATATTAAACCCAAAATAATTTTATATTATTTTGGTCTAATTTTTTTATGCCTCTTAGTATTTTTTGTAATTGAACTTGTCTAGTTATCTTCTAATTAACCAAAATTTCACTAATCATTTAAAATTTATTTTTAAGGTAATTTTTTTCATCTATGCCTCAATTAAGCCTCAAACATGGCTCGTGGCATTATTCTCTATCATCCTTGCTCTACTGGAGTTTTCCCCCAAAATTTTCGAACTTAATTTCCAAAAATTTATTTTTCTTTCTTTTTTTTAATATAAAGAAAATTTTATTTAAAATCAAATAAAAAGGATGGGAGAATGACAAAAAAAAGTTGGAAATTACTAAATTCCAAATAAAGTTTAGTAACAAACACTATTTAGTATTCATAATACTAAATTTTCAAATAATAACAAATTTTTGTTGACATTTCTTATTTAGCATTTACAAATTTTCAACTTTTTTTGTCATTTTTTCTTAAAAAGATACTTCTGCGGTTTTTAATATGGGACCTAATTATTGAGTTGATTTTAATCCTAAATATAAAATCTATTTCTCATATTTATCATTTTTTTCTAAATTACTCTTATGAATACTTTCCCATCCATAATCAAGTAGAAAAGGGTGGAAGGATATTAAGAAAGATGATTATAATGTTTTAAAAAAAACATGTCATATTTCTTATAATTAACTAACTTATGTAAATTTTTTAATTTGATCAAATTAATTAAATAAATCTTATATTAAGAATTGGAGGAGTATATAGAGATGGGCTTCCTTCTACAAAGTGAAAACAAAAGCGAAAAGAAAGCCCTAGACGGACAGTGAAATAGCTAACGTAACAAAACAAAATCAACAGAAACACAAACCCAAGCACAAGAGAACAGAAGAGAAACACAGACAAAAAGGTACTAAAATGAAAACCAAATAGGTCCGAATTTAGTAACAGGCCCATAGTCTAGCCAGTGAGTGTGAAAAGCCCAAAACATGCATTGTGTTATACCAAAAAAAACAAGGGGCATGCATCGTGCATAACAACTACAGAAGATCGAACACAGCTGGGGAATCATTCTGCAAATATATTTGCTGGTATTTTCACAAGGAGTAACACCACTACGAGACACCCAGACAACCAAATGTCTCACTATGTGGGCACCCTTGAAGGTGTCGAAATATCCCCCAAAAAAGTATTCAGTTTATTTCCCAAAAAAAAAAAACAAGGCCAGGCCAGAAGCAATAATTATAAATGGTTGAATTTTAACAAAAATTTAATGAATTTTAAGATTTTTCTTAGTTTTGGTGAATTTAAATTAAACCTAACTTAAATGTAAATTTACAATTTGTTGTAAATTACAATAATTTAAAAGCTTGCATATGTAAAATTCAAGAGAGTTGTAAAATCATATAATTAAAATGATAGTTTTGATATATAATTATTTCAAGATTTAAATGATTTTAATTATATAAAACAATAATTATATATTTTTAAATAAATATAACGGTAAATAAAATTTTTTGAATGAAAAAGAAATCATCTTAAAATTTTTGCAAATTAAGTGTGAAAGAGAGAACTTAATTCCCATTTGATACGAAGCATTAAAAATGATAGATAGAAACTAAGATTGCAATTGACAAAAATTATTAAAAAAATATTTATCGTGCATAATTACTGATTATATTGGGTTAAATAAATCTATTGAGGTGGGATTGGAGAATATCACATACCACCATAGTATTTTTTAACCCCACATACATGAATTAGTCTAGTCCCATATAACAAAAAATTTTATATTAAATATTTTTTTAATAAATTTTTTTAATCTTAATCTCAATCTCTACTTCTCATTTTTAATGTTTCCTAATAAAGGGAGCTTCGTGGAAAAGAGGCACCAGGGAAGCAGGGTGGGAGTGACATGCCGAATGAGAGGGAGGGAACAGGTGAGGTGCTAAAAAGAGGGATGTACATCAATATGAGAGACAACACGAGAGATTTCAAAAGGCAAGGATTCCTATACGAATTTATTAAAAAAATAAAGAGAATTATAATTAGATCCCACCTAAAAAAATTAAATACAAAAAGGTTCCTTGAAATCATGAAATTATTCTGAAGTTCTAAGAGACCTTTTTACAATAAATTTTATTTGTTTAATTATCAAATTACTCCTTTTTTTTAAGTTTACATTGACAACTGAAAGAGCAGTGATTGACAATTTAGGATGCAAGAATTGACAACTATCACGGCTAGTTTGACAAAACATTTTCTCAACATATCATACCCTAAATTCTCAAACCAGCTGTGATAGTTGTCAATCTTTATACCCTAAGTTGTCAATCACTGCTCTTCAGTTGTCAATACAAACTTAAAAAAAAGAAGGGTAATTTGGTAATAAAATAAATAAAATTTATTACAAAAAGGTCTCTAAAGACTTCAGAATAATTTCATGATTTTAATAGACATTTTTGTATTTAATTTTCTTAGGTGGGACCTAATTGCAATTTTCCCATTAAAATATTAGAGAGTGTGAGGTTTGACATATAGGATAAAATTGCTTAACATGGCATCGTATAATTGGTCAGCGTACAGATCGCGTGGCACTATGAGAGTACTAAGAATTCCTCTTGTTTGGCACTTAAGCTCACACCAAGAACTATTCAAATGAAATTGAGAATTTAGACGGCACTTAACCCTTTTTAAGAAAATTAACTTTATTTTATTTTCGGAGAAGTAGAAACTAAAATTAATTTAAACATCCATCAACTAGATAAATATTAAAATAGAAAATAAAACAATTCAAATAAAATCTAAACGATCTAGGCAATCCAATGAAATACGTGGAACAGCAATTATTCATGTAATTGATTGAAAGCCGCAATACAAGAAAAGAAAGCCACAGCTTCAACTCTAATTATTTTACACTATACACACTTTGAGTAGGGAATTATGAGCCAATAATCCTCACAGCATAAAATACATCTTAATTAAAATCTTTGCCCATGTATACCTCACAAGACCTTCTTGAACACAACTGCAAGAGGGGTCTCATCGGTCACAATTACGAGATGTACGTCTATTTCCAGTTTCATCGTAGTAAAGCCCAAGATTTCCACAAGGATCATCAGAAGAAGGACAGAACTTAAGCTTATAGAAGAGGCTCTGATATTTAATCATCTTGAACTTACCATCCACTGTCTTGGCATAACCACTAATTTTCACAGACTTTCCTGCAGGATCTTCCTCGATGATCGTCCACTTAGACGGCGTCGTGGCGCAGGGAGGTACGGCGGTGAATGCCATGTTCAGAAGAAGACCCTCGGCAATGTAAGCGAGTCTTGTCGGAGATGAAATCATCACGGCCAAACCATCGGTGGTCTCAAAAGGTATCTGCACCCCCGTCAATGGGCAGGTTTCGTTCCTTGTGGCTGCTAGTCCAAGACCACCACCTGAAACCAAAGGGCTCAATTAATCACTGTTCTTGCAATTCTATCGCAGATGGATTATATAATTCTAATTGGTTGGATGATAACAACCGTGAATAGCTGGTCTTTTCGATTCGATGTTCAATCCGACTTTTAAAACATTGTTTTTAACTATATATATGGTCTTAAGGTTGCTTGCCCCCCTCATATATGTATAATCTTTTCCGATAAACTATAATATTTATAAACCTATGGCTCAATTTACATCCTATGCATTGGAAAGAAAAGCCTGTCAGGTTTTAAGAGAGATATGCATTGGATGAAAAATGACAACATTTATCAAAAAGATATCTCCATTGTGTGGATGTTGTCAAGTTTCGGATAGCAAACAAATAAGCGACATGAGATAGAAGTATTTCCAACTTCAAAGCTGGGGTTTATGTTTCCTAAGGGGTGTTGGGGAACTGTTATAAGCACTTCAAAAAAAAAAAAAAACACTTTTACGTAAGTAGAGATAAAACTTTTCTTACATACTTATCTTGTATACTATAAAATCACTTTTAAAAAGTTAATGTAAAATTTAAAAAGCTAATCACTTTTAAAATCACTCGTTTTGCTACAACCCGTGGCTTGCGTTATCATATCAAAATGATTTGAAAATAAAATGAGCCCACTTGAACTAATTTCACGGGGCTTCTGATACTATTACTAATCTTAAACTAAGCATTGTTTATACATTACACGAAATTATTAGTTATATTGTTTTATCTCCAGCTACATGCATGTACATATGTATGCTGGCGTATCGATATACATTGATTCAATGTGAAATATGTTGACCAAAATGCAGTTTTTTTTTTTGGTTATATAAAAATAATCTCTCAAGTCTTAATTATAGAAGCTATTAGAAAATTTATTTTAGTTATAAATTTAAAATCTTAATTCATTTTATCTAATGAATTTATAATTTTATTTTTCAAACCATCTTATATTGATTACACACATTAAAGGCTTTTTTTCAGGGATAGTTTCAATGCAAATGGTTAAGGATGATATTTTACAAAAGCTAACACATTTTTTCACAAATGATTAATTAACTTAAGTAATTTTTTTAATTTTTATAAATTAATTATCTAACTCCTTTATTTATCATCAGAAGGAATACTTTGATAAAAAGTTTAGAAATAGAATGAATTATAAAATAATATTTTTAACAAATTGAAGAAATTATATTTATATATATTTAAAAAAGGGGATAAATGTCTATATAATTTCAACCAAAAAATTTATGTAATTTATTATAAATCATTATCTCTTGCAAAATTGTTCCTCCACTGATGGTATCGAAATGGTTGTCAATTATTATGGTGACAAGCAAAAATGGAAGCGAAGAAAATATAAATGTCTAGAAATAATAATTGTCTTTTTTATATTTGGGGACCAATGTCGATGTTAGAAGAAACCTATGTTGAACGCGTGTATTAGTGAAAAGTACTTATCTATTCGTTCTTATGCATATAACATTTATGGAAGACAACCCCATTCTTATTCCTTTCCCCATCGTAGGAACATTGTGGAAAGTAGCAACACGTGTCAACGTATGACTGACTCACAGTCCTTCAAGGTGAGAGGACGGAATATAACTAATACTCTCACCAATCCTATTTAATTAATTTAGGTGATTAAAAAAATTAGATAAATTAATCAATTATAATAAATATGATTCAATCTTAATTGTTATGCATAACATTGTATTATAAAATAATTTATAAGTTAGTTAAAATAAAATAGTTTAGAAAAAATAATAAAAATAATAAGATAAAGTGGACAGGACTTTTATATTTGGAATCAAACTCAATTTTTCAACCAACTCCTATATTAGGGATAGAAAAAGTACATATAAATACCAGCTAAAATAAAAAATGGATTTTGAAATATCAAAGGTATAATGGCTTTTCAACAAAATTTTAGGTTTGGTTGACCAAAAAAAAAACCTCATTGGGAGAACTTTCGGCATTTGGGATTTTTTTGGCATAACTCATAGTATTCACAAGTCACTTTGGATTAGAAACTAATCTCTATTGCGTTAGAAGCCTTAAAATTAAAGTCTTTCTAATAAGTGCACATTCTGAAATTTAAACTTGTGTTTTTCTTTTTTTGAGAGTGATATTGCTTATTATTTTAATCAACGGCTTGGTGGTTTTTGGGTCCCATTGGGGAATAACACCCATTAGTCCCAAAAGATGAATTTAATGGTAGTCAGATTCTAAAATATGCCGAAAGATGAGCGACAATATTAGATAAGACGGTTATGAATACGAGTGCTTCAGTTGCAAATCAACAGGGTGACCTTAAAAATTCGAATGCTTGATTTGTAATTAAGACTCCTATATTTGCAATTGTCAAAATTCATATCTACAACTTATTTGTTATTAAAATTCTTTAAGACTTAAGTGTTGTAAAATCCATTTTCTAACAATTTTAACACTTCAACTCGCCTTTAATTATCTTTTTTTTTTTTAAGACGTGTAAATCAGTCGAAAGTGACTTAATTATATTTAGAATTCAACGGAATATAATAAATGTATATATTAAACATAAGCACAAGATCCATAATTAAATATCTAATGAATATTCTATGATATTTAAGAATTTTTCCAACTCTTTTCAAAAGTATCAGACTTGGTACTGATAATGCCCCTTTGATGTAATCATCTCTTAATGTTTAAGGATTAAAGATAAAGGAGCAGAGATGTGACACCAGTAGTCTAGACGGAATGCTAATCTTTCACAAAAAGCACAAAAGAAGAAGAAGAAGAAGAAGAAGAAGCTAGTCAATATAATTGGGATCAATCCGACATCAATGACTTTGTGGAAGATATATATATATATATATATATATACATATTTGTAATGTATCTGCAAACTATCCATAAAAGTATATTAATACCCATATATATAAAATATTCAAAACTCCAATAAATTGTATTATTTATTAGCCATAAATTTTATGGTATGTTTCTCAGATATAAGGATGAAATTTAGGTAAAGTTGCTTATGTTCATTAAGTTCACAGGTGAGTTTGTGCATATACGCATTTTGACAACTAATAATAACAAAATAATAAGTATCCATGTTTCATATGTGAATTTATAAGTGTACTTACATGTTTTACCAATTAATAACAGCAAAATAACGAACGTTTACATGAAAATTCAAAACTTATAATTTACAGCATATAAGAGCTAACACAAAAATTTATAAGTATTCAAAAGTGAGTTTAAAAGTACATATATGCTTACCTTAATGGAACGAAAATGATTCTTGGTAGTCTAAGGGAGTGTTTGGGTAACAAGCAAAACTATGGTGTGATTCAAACACCATAATTTTTAGCAAAATCACTTTTTTTAATTGAAAATCATGGTTTGGGGAGAAAAAAAAGTAGGCAAACACTATAATTTTTTGCCCAATCACTTTTTGAGTTGAACAGTAGCCAAACACTATAAATTTTGTCCTAGCAATGAGCTCTGGATGGTTCAAATTTTTTTTTTTAACATACAAATTTTTGATGATAAATTTTTAAGAAGTTTAGTTATTATATAAGATTGTCTTTATTTTAAATTATGTATCTAATAAAATATAAAATTATTTAGGAAGTGTCTTTTATAAACATGAAAGAAGCTATGCTAGAGCGATTATTCTAGTTTTGCAAACCCACGAAAATGTTATCTCGAATAGTGTCAAAATGGTCCTTTTGCCCGTAGAGTATGTATATACACGCAAACTCTTTCGTGCAAATAATGTTTATAGCAGCAGGTTGAGCTGGTGATTCCAAGGACTTGACCTCCTGTGGATGTTAAGATTTCCCTCAGGAACGCGATCTCATGCATTTATACTTTACATTCCAATGCTTCAAGGAACTTGCTTCTTGTTTCAGGATGAACCACCACAAGGTTCTCAAAGCACAAGTTAGCCAATACTAACTTCAATCCTTAATATAAGAGTTAAATAACTAATTTAACGAGATTACACTACTACGGAGTGAGGAATACTTGATGCTAAATATTTGATGGTTATTACAACTAACCGTCAAATATAGTATCTCAGGGAGAAAACTTGACAGTTTTAATAGGAACCGTCAAGTTTCATGGGAAAATACTTGACGGTTTTTAAAAAACCGTCAAATATTCTCCAACAATACTTGACGGTTATGTTATAACCATTAAGTATCTTTGAGTAAACTTGATGGTTTCTCCATAAACCGCTAAGTTTTATCATACTTGACCATTTTTTCTAAAAACCGTCAAATATTATTGTAAGATACTTGACGATTATTAATAGAAACCGTCAAGTATTATCTTTTAAAACCCCTTTCTCTGTTCATTTTGCTCTGCCCAGTTCAAAATTTCTAACGCCCCCTTTTGCTTTGAACTCTCTAAGCCGCCATACCCACCTCATTTTCGGCCCTTCCCTTTTGTTTTTATTGATCATCCTCCATCATCGTCCCTCTCTGTGTCCTCCTTCATCACTGTGACATCCTCTTGCATTGTCGTTGTCACGCATTGTTCTCCAGATTTGACAGCTTCAGGTTAGTCCTCCTTCGTCACTCGCTCCCCTTGTTTCCTTTAGTGCTTCCTTCGAAATGATTGTAGTTGAAAGAGAATGATAGGATGATGTTAGGACCGTTTACAATGTGCACACGGAAAATGGGTTTTTCTGTTCAGCCGAATGGGTCTTTCATGTTTTGATCAGTTTTTTGGGTTTAGGGTATTTTCAATTTTTGTTTTCGCCATAAATTTTTTGGTAAATAATCAAAATTGCTAATGTTTCAATTTTTGTTTTTGTAATTGAAATTGACTGACTATGGTTTTCTACTTAATTAATACTTCATTTGAAGTTAAATAGAAGGCATAAAGCCTGGGGAATGCTAAGTTATAAGCTGTTATGCTGTCAAATTTTTTTCAAATGGAATAGCACATCAGTAGTAGTAGAATATTTTTCAAACTGAAGTGAAAGTGAATTTTTGTTGAATTACTAGTTGCTAACAACTAGAATTACTAGTTGTTAACAAGTAGAATTAAAGAGGGATAAATGTGATCAATAGTGCCTCATGTGTTGACTTTCTATTTTTGTTTAATTCTCACAATATCTTTGAGTCGCTGATCACATTTTCCTCTAAATGATTCATCTTAGTCGGGGACCATGGGCAAGGAATGGATGTCT